GAAGTAACATCTATCGGATAATCCACAACTTGTTTTTGCTCATTTCAGGCTCTAAAGAAGGCTACGTAGCTGAAATTATCATATTTCGTGGTCAATCTAAAAATTTGATCGGGGCGTAAAATTCCCATTTGATTTTACTTCCTCATTCTGAGATTCTATGCAGGCGACACTCAGCCGCAAAGCAATTTTCCCTCTATCTCAATACGAAGTTTTTCAATCTATGAATTATTCAGTCATTGCTCCCATGATTCTTCTCTCAGTAATGGCTGTTGCGTCAATACATTTTGGATTCATGCTCCCATGCTTTTCTTTTCCTAGTATTCTGAATTTCCACCATAAGTATGAAAGACTCTTCGCAATGTAAGAATACGGCTTTGTGCTGATTTGGATTCAAAAAATCTTACTGTTTTACTAGTGGTTGGATTGTTTCCAAAAATTGCATTCCAATGTTTCTATAGCAGCTATAATAAAAAAGTGCTTTTCATCAGTGGAAAGAGGAAAACTTGGTCAGATAATCAGAATTAATCAAAACCTTCCTGTTCACGCTTTTGTCGATTATTTGTCTATTCACTGATTTATTTATTCACTTGTTTATTCTTTTTCGACAATTAGAATGCATTGATCCTTCTAAACAAATTGCAAGCTCTTCTAGGTTTTAAAAATAATATTTGGTAGCAATTCAGTTGATGACTTGATGTTTTTAAAATACAGGGTGTCCCAATAGTAAGTACACACTTTTCAGTCGTTAATATCTCTCTTCCCATTGTGTCTTTTTCAGCCATTTGAGTGTCATCCTGTAGAGGAGGCTTCAACTTAGATTTATAATATTGAGCGAATTACTGATCGCTCTTCGTTACTGTAGGATTACTGTAGGAACTTCGACAAGGATTTTAGGCCGTTGCAAGCCATATTCTGCCACCGAACAAAACCAAGCAAGCCAAAAACTCTTACTATGGTAGTGGAAGCCGCTGATTTCGAAAATGAAACTTCCACTTGACTCTGATGCTTCTTTCCTAAGTTATCCCAGGTAAACCGTAATAACCGAGTTACCAGCATTCGTCGGAACTGTAATTACATTGTCAGGAAAGCTGAAAACACTCATAAAAAGTTGTGTAACGGAAGCGGCGTGCGCGAAAACCCTAGTGCACGATTTTTCAGATTTTTTGAGGAAATTTTGTCGGATGGCATATTCCACAATGGTTCCACATGCTGGAAGTTCTTACCGTAATCCTACAGTAACGAAAAGCGATCGGTGATTCGCTCGTTGCTGCAAATCTAAGCTGAAGCCTCCTCTACAAAATGGTACTTGAACGGCGGAAAAAGACCCAATGGGAAGAGAGATGTTAACGATTGAAAAGTGTGTACTTACTTTTGGGACACCCTGTATTTGTCGGTTCACATATCAAACACAATTTTTTTACAGAATGTGTCGGAAGAATTTTGCTGCATCTTTTCCTATATTTTTACGAATCCAAAACAGGTAGTAGATATGCAATATAAACGAGGCTTGGCACGAGGTGGTTTTTGGAAAATGCAAAAAAACGAAGTCTCGCTTGACTTTTGCGAATTTTACAAAATCCCCTTTGACCCTAAACCCTAAACGTAAAACCCTCAAAAAACAGAGCCCTGAATATAAAGAACGTAGCTTTGAATAATGTGTGGATAACATGACAAGATCCAGCGGTAATAGAAAAAGAAGGCGAGCTTGATAACCAAACGTCATCTCGAATCCACCCACCCGCATCATATTTCCATGCCCATTCCGTAATATGATTATGGCCCACATGAGGAGATCTGCCATTAAATTTAGCAACTGTGCCGTTGTCCCTTATTGTATAGTAATTTGAGTGAAGGTTGCCATTTGAGTTGATAATTACAGTACTAAGGCAGCTTCACAACTTATGATTAACGTGCTTTGACTCTCTGATCTCTTCCTTAGATCTTCTGAAAATGCATTCTACTACTTTTTATTCCTATTTTTGACTGTAAATCCGACAGTCGCATTCAAAAATGGGAATACTGTTTGTTTGATGAATTGACTGAAAAGGCGCAATCCTAGTATTCATGCAGAGGGGACGGGGCAAGTTTTTGACTAGCGTTAGATTTGCCCCCGGAAAAATCTTAAAGACTAAGTTTCTATCTTATAACATTGCTTGAAAAAAAATTTTTTGAAGAATTATTGAAAAACCAATTTGCTTCCTTGTAAAATTGCATTGGCAAAGTTATATTAATTGCATCAAAAGTTTGCTTATGATTATTTTATGAGTCAATGAGTACTTTTATCAAAAAAAAACTTATTTTATAGATTTTGAAGCTCTAATTTGATTGATCATAAGGGTAACTTATTTGCAAAATTTGCCAAACCAGACCGTTTCCAAGTTTGTAATTTTTTGGGCCGGATAGATCGTTTCCAGAATTTAATTTTTGATAACTTATTTCGGGTCTCTTTCACCTCGCCGTCCTCTCCTCACGAAAACAAGCTTCTCCGAGTGAGAAAGAAAATCACTTTATGAGACAATTCAATCCGGCTAGAGAAACTACAATTTGCTGCGTAGATGTGTTTACGAGTAAAGTGCAAATTAAGCCTACTACGCTCCACTGGAAGAACTGGCTCATTCGTAGGCTCATCGTAAAGTTGCGGCGGTCTGAAAACTTGTTTATAGTCTACTCGGAAGGGAAAGAAGCGTATTCTTTCGGTATCATGCGAACATGTAGTTAGTTGTTAGTTAGTAGTTCCTAAGCCAATTTTATCCGTATTTTAAAATGGTCTATAATGACCTGGCGAGGAGGGGGGGGGGGACATAGGATGTTATTTACTTTGAAAGCTATTATGTGAGCCTAGGAAATACCTTGGATAATTATGATTTCTTAAACAATGTGTAACGTTTGATTAAATTGGCTTGGCGGCTGAAAAGCGGGGCTTTGTGACCTAATTAAAGCCGGTGGTGCTCACGACGCAGTCTGCGCCTCTATCGCGCGCATGCTCTCTGATCATTGTCTAGTCTTAACCGGTCACGAAACCCCGCCTTCCAGCCGTCAAACCAGTTGAATCAAAGGGTATCCTATTTTGTCAAATGTATTTACGTGTACTATGTTCCTGAAACGGCTACTATACTAGCGAATGGTGTCTCATTACAAAATCTATTTTTTTTTCCAATTCGAAGCATTTAGTGAAATCGAAGTGAATTTTTTTACCTGAATCAAAAAAGTTTTAAAAAATTAAACAGTTTCAGATGACAGACCGCTATTATATCCGCAATCTGCCTCCAAATTTTCAATGTATTTTTTAAACTCTTAAGAAGCTGCGGTTTTTTTTTGAAACTCAAAGGCTATCCCTTATCCCATAAAAGTTGTTGCCTTGAGATACAATTTTAGCAAGGCCAATATTATGACGTCGCACTTCGCCAAGCTTCCAACGTCAGCCCTTATTCTTTACAGAAATTTAATTTTCAGGGTTGCTATTGCAAAATTTTCAAAAAGTCTCGCTAAGATTTTGCTTTTACTTCGCTATTTTTGAGCAGGTGTTATAACAAAGTATCAAAATTATGGATGTGGTTGAAATGACCTTAGAGCTTTTTGAAAAAAAAACGGAGCGTAAAAGCGTGTATAAATCAGCTTCTAGAAGCTTCCTGACGTAATAATTTTGTTTTATATGTAGTTTTTACTTTGTAGGTACATTACTCATACGGACTGCAAAGACTACAAACGATTATATGTGCATCGAAAAGATTCTGCTTTTTCACCATTCGAACTAACGGTTTCACTCTATGCACATAAAATGGCTCTCTAGCTTTCGTAATGTTCAGATTTTTCGATATTCAAAGTAGATTTCACGATTCTGCCCTATCTTCCGATTCGTCTGAATCTGAGTTCACTTTTTTAAGCTCTTATTTATGCGCACTCAGACAACCGGCCAGAACTTCCGCAGCGGTTTCGCAGCACTTCCGGCGGGTCACCTGCGGAAACCCTGCCAAAGCGCTGCGGAACCGCTGCAATGAAGTGCGGAGGGTTCCCGCAACACTTTTTTCTCTCATAATCCGCAGAAATGCTGGCAGACAAGTGCTGCTTGCGATTTTATAGCACTTTCGCAGCGCTTTATGGAGAGTGCTGCGGAAGTTCCGGTTTACGGTAAGTCAGTTTCCTGCGGAAACCCTGCATAATGAAGAGTGCACTTTTCAATGGTTAAAAAAGTCCTGCGGAACCACTGCAAGTTCTGCTTGTCCTGCGGGAGTTCCGGTAATTGTCTGAGCGGAAATACCTTGGTTTGTTTTTCTAATCATACTTCTATTTGACATATATCAATGTGTTTGTTTCCTTGTTTGGGTTTTAATCCGATCCCTTGAGCAAAAAAAAAGCACTGGTAAGTCATGCGGTTCAGAGCTCTTATTTGAAATATCACTTCCTCAAGAACTTCCTTTATCCGCCTTTTGTTTTGTTGAGAAAAATAAGCTCTAATAAGTCGAGTAAAAAGGAAAGTTGAGTAGAATAAAATAAATTCTCAGCATTATAAACGAACTTTTAGCACTATTACCTATGAGACGAAAAATTTTCGACCTAATTCAGCTCTCTAGCTTTCATGATGCGCAGATTTTAGTATTTATATTCAATATTTATATCTATTTTTAATATTTACGTAACTAACAATATGTAACTAAATTTTTTTGGACTATTGAGAACGAGGCTGAATCTCATAGGTCTCCCCGTCTTTGGGAATAATTTTAGAATTTTGGTTAGCATATTGGAAATCACTACTTTCTCCCCTCGAACCATGTTTTACAGCACAATTTTTCATTTCAAAATTCATTTTTCGTAACCAGTTCCGAAATTTTCGTGTAACCGTGACAATTATTGATTTCTGATTTTGCTCAAAAATTCATGTCGTGGAATTCCGATCTTCGTGCCTAATAATGTGATATCTACCAAATTTTATGAAATTCCAAACCTTTTTTCAGAATCCCTGTACTGTAAAAATTTTGATGATTTTGCGATAGAAGAACACAATGGATGACACGGGTGTGAACAGCACTGAAGTCTATTGTGGTTTGGACCCACACGAGTACCTAGAGGTAAGCTTCAAAGTGCTGCTACGAGTAGAAATGCCATTGTGGGTTAGGCAGTGTAATGATAATGGACACTATAATATCAGGTTGGTAGACAATTCCTATTGCGCTCTTATTTTTGAATTTCAATCTTAGTTTTTAACATCTCATGTGCAAGACATGTTGCTGGGGTGAAAATGAAATTATAGAGAAAAAATGTGAAAATGAGCACCTGCAGACGTAGAGGAAAACTCAGAGAAAAGAATGGAATTTGAAGTACTAGTAGAAGTGTTGTGAACTTGTTGGCTATCTGTGCATTTGCGGCCTTAATCATGGCGGTGGTTACATCTTGTCGGGCCCTACACATGTGTCAAATTGAAGAATTGAAAAATTTGTCACATGAGTAGGGCACGGCAAGATGTAATCACCGACGTGATTGAGGTCGCAAATGCACAAATAGTTGAGAAGTTTACGACAACTTCTGAGATTTTCGAGAATTACACGGAAAGTTGACAGAAATTATATGTCAAATTAATACTGGAGAATATTAATCCAAGCTATTACTGCAAAAAGCTAGATAGAAATCATTTACTTTAGTTTTGATAAGAGTTTTACAAAAATGAGTGTCGTTTCAAATATTTTCTCCTATTGCAGGTCAAATTCTTTCTCATCAGCGTTACTGGTAGCCTCATTGGACTTTTTGGACTATTCGGAAATGCATCTACTGCGCTTATCCTTACGCGGTTAGTCCATTATTTATATTTAGCTCATTAGAATTTCCTAGTGGCAATCAAGAGCAGAGAAACAAATAATTCTTCCATTAACGAGAATTTTTCAAGCGCTGCAAATGCTTAGACCAGGCCAATTGGTGCTTTTTTCAGTATAATTTTGAACAATTTAGGCCGACGATGCGAAATCCGAACAATCTCTTCTTGACAGCCTTAGCTGTTTTCGATTCATGTCTGCTGATAACAGCATTCTTTATTTATGCAATGGAATATATTATTGAATATACTCAAGCTTTTGATCTGTATGTTGCGTGGCTCACATATTTACGGTAAGGCTTTGAGTTTGAGATCTAAACATCCTCAGTTAAATGGTCCCACTATTTTTTGAGTTCTAGAAAGCTTCTCATATTTGGATAAAAATGCAAATAAGTGGAGAGTAACGGAAAGTTTCTTGAGAGGGAATTAAAGGGAATGGAAGGAAAATTGATTGGCAAATATGTTCCGCTGGTCTAATGGGGCCATTTGAAGAACCCCTCGTGAATCTTTCTTTCATTCTCAATAATCTAAGAGAAATTCATTTGCAATAATTATCCATTACTCAAATCACTTAAGAAATATAGTCAGGGCTCAGCACGAGGTATCTTTTGGAAAATAAAAAATACGGAGTCTCCATTGACCTTCGCAAATTTTTACGAGATCCTCTTTAACCTTAAACCCTATACGTAGAAAACTTCACAATTTTGCTGTCTTTTCGGCCTCAAAAGCGATTCCCCCTTTGACTTTTTTTTTTCGAAAATGACATCCAGCTTGTTTATAAGCCATATGTGAGCCCTGAAATAGTGTATGATTTACTTTAACAGAACGCACATAAAACTTCCTTAAAAATCTTAGGAATTTTCCTTCAACAAAGCTTTTCCACTGTAATTCATCATCTTTTCCCATTCTTCCAGACTACAGACGATAAATAATGCAACTTTGCCCCTTCTGTGGTTCAAATGTGATTGATGAGGTTTTCCGAGAAATTCTTCTGTCTAAAATGTTTCCGTTTCTTCTAATCCCTAAGGACTGGAAGCTTTTAAGAAGTGGAAAAGTTGTTTGTCTACTGATCCTGGGCATTTGACATGCTGAAAAAAGGATGCAGAAGCTGTGCAGGCATTTATCTAGTCAAAGCTAAATTGTAGTCTGCAGAATCGGTAATACAAAATCAAGGAAGTACATATTTTCAAAGTTACAGTAGAATTTATTCGAGGGTTTGGAACAAAGATATCCTAACTAAACCAGTTTGTATCATAAGTCGCTTAGTTCCTCAAAATTCACATACTTCGAGGAATAAGTCTTTGATGAAATCATTTACAAAGGGGTGCGTAGCAAACAAAACATCGAATCCTGTTGTAAGATTCTGTAATTTCTATGGTTAATGTACATAGGAATTTAGCGATGGAAATTCCTAATTACTAATAAAGTCAATAAGAATATTTATATTTATATGATATTATACTTATTGATATTTAAGGCAAAAAATTCAGTACCCCGTTATAGTCACGTGATATTCATGGCTGAGCTACTAAGGTATCAGTTCTCTACCATAGATTCTAAAAAGTATTAGAATTTCCCCATCTTGAACGGAAAATTTTGAGCAATTATTATTGATTTTATTGATTAGGAATTTTTAGGCGGCACAAAGGAAACATTCAAATTAGAAGTAAAGTTGTATTTAGTGATTATTCATCCTTGGAAAGTTTTAAAAAAGCAAGTCCCCATAGAGAAAACTGTTTACAAATTGAATTTTTTCCGGGTCTGTATGATATGACGTGTGTTTACAAAATTCTAATCCTGAAATTGGGGAGCGTGAAAATCCTTCAAATTCTTCCAGATACCAATTTTTAGATAATCTAATAGTATAGAAATCTCCAAGAGCTCGTAAAATTCCAATTATTCTAGGTTTGCTTTTGCTCTGTCACACATCTCACAAACGGGAAGCGTTTACATTACTGTAGCAGTCACAATAGAGCGATATTTGGCCGTGTGTCATCCTAAAAGGAGCAAACGAATGTGTAGCTCAGGTATGTAAGTCATAATTTGTGAATCAAAAAAGTTATATCAAATTTGAAAGAAAATTTAGGGGGAGCTGCGTGGACGATTCTTGGCGTAACGACATTTGCTGTACTTTTTAATGCCACAAAATTTTTTGAGCTGGAGGTAGTAAATACGGCGATTTTGAAAGAAATTGCAATCAATGAAAAGATTTTAGGTTACTGTAAATCCAGAATGTCCAGATGGGAAAGATTGGCAAAGTTATATATTACTTCCATCGGCCATGGCTGCAAATTCACTCTATCAGCAGGTTAATTTCGAAAATTCTATGTTCATATATGGAATTGGTGTTTTTAGGTTTATTCGCTATGGCTAACAAACCTAATTATGGTCTTTCTGCCATTTCTTGCATTGCTTGTGCTGAATGCCGTCATAGCTTACACCATTCACAAAAGTCTGGAGAAATTCGACTGCCAAAAACAAAAGTGAGTTTTCTCTGCTGAGCTCGTCATAGCTTTTTGAAGACGTGGATTTGCAAACCAGCTTTTTCTCAACCTCTGCAACTGATTGCCCAATTAACTTACCGTAATCCAGCAATTACCTGCTCGGTTTGCGGATTTCAGATCGATAGCCGCAGCACTTTCAAATACGAGCGAAGTAGCTCGAGAAATTGCCAGGTGATAGCAAAAATTGTACCAGACATAGATTGTTGGATTTGTTCGAGTATGAGACGATTTACTGTGGAACAGAACTCGCTTTTCTTTTTTAAAAGTTGGAAAAGCCGGAAATGATAATTGTTTGTCAGCAAGACAGAAAGGGCAGCTTCAGACAGAGAAAAATTGTGGGATATGATCTCACCTCAAAAGCAATGCCCGGCAAAACTGGATACCTATCTGGGCGACTTAATTTCTTCACTATACAGGGTGTTCCAAAAGTATGTGTATGCACTGTTTGATCATCATATCTGTGTTCTCTAGAAATCTTTTACTTGCATTCAGGTAACGTTTTGTAGAGCAGGCTTCAACTTAGATTTATAGTATGGAGCTAGTCAACTATCTTCATTCACTAATGTATGATTACGGTAGGAACTTCAAGAAAGGTTTTGAGCTATTAAGTGTCCTATTTCGCCTTATAAAGTAAACCAAACAGTCTGTAAACTCTTACACTAGGCTAATTAAAAACGCTTGAATCAAATATGAACTTTGCATTTGGCCGCAATGCTTCTTTCATGACTTATACCCCGTAAACCTTAATAGCTGTTTTTACTATGTCCCCTAAAAATGCAGTCACACCCTTTGAAAAGCTTTACAAACTCCTAGAAACTTGAGTAATAAAATCGGCGCACGTAAAATCCATCGTACACCACTTTTCAGAATTTTGGAAACTTTTTTTTTGAAACACGGCTAATCCACAATAAACTGTAAGTCTAAGTGTAAGTTGAAGCCAGCTCTACAAAATGGTTCCTCAAGGTAGGTAAAAGACTCCCTGGGATGAGGGATAGAGACACTAACGGTCAAACATGTATACATACTTTTGGGACACCTTATATAGATCAAAAGGCCAAGGCTAAATCTTTCCCCTGAACTGCCGGACTGGGCCTTTTTGCCCTTTGCCCTGCCATCAGGATCTCTTTGCCCTGAATGCTGTAGTGAGTTATAAATTTTTTCTACCCAGCGTTTCTCTTGGAAGAGATTAGAACTAGGAGGCTGCAGGCCAACGAAAGAACTTTTTTTTACAACCTCTTCAAATGAGAGAAAAACTATAATAATGGCTCATGAATATGCTATAGTCTTATTCTCCCCCTGAGACTAGAGTAAACAGTCTCAACACCCTGTTCCTACGGTATATCATCTCATATTCAATTTGTCCACGTCAGTGTTTGTGTTCGAAACTAACAAGGGTGTGCAGTAGAATTCGTTATATGTCATTATGGTAAGGAAGTGATGTAGAGCAAAAGCTTAAGCTTTGCCAAATAGTAGCTGTGGATTAGTGTGTAGCAGTTGACAGCGAGTGCTGCTTTACTTCCTGTTCCTAAATACACAAGCGAAAGTGATATATGGCCATTTAAAAACGCCACGGCCAAAAAAAAAGAACATCTTAGGAATGTTAAAGTAGCATAATTACAGTAGTCACTAACAATGCTATTGTACTCATAATCCCTTTAGAGTATAATCTTTCCAATCCCCTTAGCTTAGCTATGCCGTCTCAAAGAACTTCAAGGACAGAATTTTATCACTGTTGTTTAGATTACCGGACCGGAGCGAACTGAAGGAAAAGAGCAGAGAAGCTACCCTGGTGCTGGTAATAATCGTGTGCATCTTTCTAATTTGTAATTTCTGGGGATTTGTGCTCACCCTGTTGGAAAGAATTGTCGATCGTGAAACACTGGTGAGCGATTAGTTGTGAATTTAGAGGAGAGTACCTCGCGCTTTCCAAGGGTTTTGATTAAATAAAATATACTTTGGCATATAGCAACAATACGAGTAATAAAAACAGTCAGATGGTTCTTGAGTTTTGCGCTAATATTGCTGAAATGTCTTCTTAATTCCAACTTTGATTCTAAGTTTTGTTATAGAAATCGCTCTTCCTACCCAAGAAAAGTTCGTGTTGATCGGACAAGAAGTTATGATATTCTCACCGCATTGTTTATATTTTTGGTTTTAAAAAATAAATTTCTAAATGTTTAATAAAATGCGATTCCCACGCATTCATCATTTTATATCATGAAAAGTGTATAATATAACTAAGAAGAAGTTTTGAAGATTTTCAAACTGAACTTTCCTATTTTGGTACAACGCGCATCATCCTAAGGATTTGTCGTAAAGGTTTTAGGTTTTTGCATTTCCAGTAACTTCCCCTCATACTTTATGGTTATCAAAAAAATAAACGATCAAAGAGTCCAGATGGTTAGTATAGAAAGATTTTTTGAGATAGGTATGCAAAAAAACTATTTTCGGAACAAAGGAACGCGTTAGCCAGCTTTCCAAGAAAGTTTTGGAATGCCGATAAAAGATTTGCAAGGTCATAATCGTTTGCCAAAAAAATCAGGCCCACGCAGGTTGCTATCTATACATCATTATATAGAACAAAAATATAGTTGACAAATGAGTCGACTTTTCGCCATATCAAGTAAATTGATGAGGATCATTTTTACTTTGTTCTTTCAGGAAGTGACACATAGGACATTCTACACGTTTTCGCGGGAGGCTATCAATTTTCTTGCTATAATTAATTCATCAATTAACTTCGTCATCTACATTGTTTTTGGGAAGGAGTTTAGGTATATTTGATTTCGGAAAAAACCAAATATCAATATGCAGCAATTCTTAGGAAGGAGCTGGTGATCGTTTACGGTTGCGGAATGCGTGGTATAACTTTGCGATTACCAGTACACGACAAATTCAATATTTGGAGAACATGGCAAAAACGAGCCAAGGAAATGCGCCATTCCGTGAGTATGACCGGTCGAAGCATTCTTAGCACTCATGGGGTATGTCTCGATACTCCCCATTTTTGGGCTTTTTGAAAAAAAAATTATTGCAGGCTACGTCAGCAACTATCTTGGATCACTCCACAACGGATCATCAAGAACAGACTAAATTTATCCACTCATACAACGATAAGAATGGTAACATTGTTGGACGGCAGGAAAACTCATTACCGAAAGTCGCACAAAATGGCACAGGTTAGTGCAGAATGCTTCTAACCGTTTTATTCAATATATCACTGCGCTTTTTGCATTTTGTAGGCACCGTCCACCCAGATTCCCAACTCCCATGTTTTTGTCGTACCGAGACCTTCTTATGTCCCTGATTCCTAAAATGGAGTCGAAATCCGCGAATCGTAAAACGCGCAGTGATTGTCGGGGTGAACGGTGTTGGTTGGGCAGAAACGGATGGGCGGGCATTACTGAAGGGAGCGGTGCCGCTTAGGGGTCCTCTGCTTTCTTCGTTTTTCCGGAGCAGTCTTCTCGCTTCCGAAAGACATTTTGCCCCGCGATTTGAGCATTGACGATAGGGGGCCTGCTATTGTACGCTGGCAAAAGCTTAAGATCAATAACTTAGGTTGGACAGTGCCTTTAAATGATGTGTAGTCAAATCAAAAAACATGTGTAGCACAAACTGAAGACCTCACTTTGTATCTACCTCTCCATTGTTAAGAAATATTAGGTTGAACACTAAGTTTTGCAACTGGTCGCATAACTTCCCTCTCACTCAACATGGTGCACTCAAATTTTGCCACTGTGTTGGTTATTACGTAAGCTACAAGCGCAGCTGCTGTCCTACCAAATTCTGACGTCGCAGTGAAGGTTACGGTAGGTGTATGGTATGAAGGGGAAAAATTCAAAGTTTGACGGATTTGGCTGAAACTTGGCATAGGAGTGCTATCCGACATGCTGATCACGAAAACGATAGTAAAATTTCGTGATAAGCGCTTTTTTGTAAGATTAATTTAGCTGTACGATAGGGGGTCTCACCCTAAACAAGGGAAAATGGCGTGATTCAACAAATGAATATGATTCGCGTTCGGCAAGTCAAATAACCTTACTATGTGAAGTCTCGGCGAAATTTGAGCTTGACTCCTTAGTCATTGACGGTCGTCCCCAGCAGCTCTTGGGTACATCGACTCGTTCGGCTTTGTGAGGACGCCAAATCTCGACATGCCCCTGAATTTTGTTTCTTTCTTACTAGGCCAAAGGAGTCAACCTCCAGCAATTATTTGTAGACGAGTCCGGATTACTGCGCATGGTCTAGCTTGCTAGAGGCTTTATCTTAGCTTGAAACCCCAAAAACTCTCAAATTTTACTAGTTTTCGAAAAATGCCTGAAACTTTCCTATTTCGTGTTCAAAGCGTAAATAGGCTAATTGTAAGATTCAAAATGGCCTTTTTCCGTTGTTGCATTATTTGACTCGTCTGCGTTAAGCTCTGCTACTCGAGTATTCTAATACAAATATAAACTCGTAACGCCGATTTAAAAAGCATCAGATAAAAACCGCAGTGCGGTCCCGAAGCGCGCGGATGCAATCTAGCACCTTCAATCACTGATTCACCAGTGTTAAAAGCTTTGCTTTTGCACCAAACTTTAAGTCAAAAAGATTGCTCTTGTACAAAGCCTTGAAATAATTTTCATTAGCAAATGTTTGGAAATTCGACCTCTCCCAATCATCTTTCCGGAAGGCGTAACTTCCACCTTCCCACTGAAAACATTTCTTCGTGCTTTTTCTTGGAATTTCGGACACAGCAGCTTTCTGTAGCGTGCGGTTGCGCAAAATATTATAAGCAAACTAACTGGCTTACCCGGCTCCGCCCGGCCCTGTCATTATTATATTCGTAATTAGCATGCTCGATTACCCCCCTGTGCCAACTCCCAGCCCCGTAGCTCAAATTTTGCGAAAAATCGATAAAATCGATATCGATCGATGACGAAAAGTGGCCCATGACACCCGCCGGGGCCCGATGTGTATGTGTGCCAAGTTTGGTCCGGATCGGTTCAGAAATGGAATTTTCTATTCGGAACATACGTACAGACAGACAGACAGACAGACAGACAGACAGACAGACAGACAGACAAACAGACATTCAGCTTTATATATAAGATTCAAATGGTCCTGGCAGATCTATCAGTGCATCTGATAGGATTTCATTACTGGATAGTACCACGTAATCGTTTCAGATAAAAGCAGCTGGTTGGAACCCAGAAATGGCAATGCTGGCAAAAGGACAACGCTAGCTTTATTTCCATCGAAGGATGGTGAAGTAAATGGCCAAATTCTACTTTCTGATGAGGGAACCTTATGTTGATACTCAAGCATTTTCTCTAGGTTTGCAATGTACATACATCAGAATTCATTACTCTTGCGCAATTCATTCTGCATGATTTCTTGATCACTGTAATCATGGGTCCGTGATGGCCCCTTCGTGTTATGTGCCTTATGAAAACTGTTCATTGGTTTCAAAATATGTATTGTAGAGGGCTATGTGCTGTAAATACAGCAAAACGGTTAGGATACTCACTTTTTCGGTGATTAGTGAGCAGTGCATATAAAATGTATCTACACATGTGCAGACCACTTCAATCTAATATGTAAAGAATCGTTAACTCATTTCAAAAATCTGCAAATAGCGGGAAACGGCGGTGCGGTCCTGAAGCGCGCGCATGCTGCTAGCACCTTCAATTACTTTTTCACTAGCTTGCAATATGATTAGCAATATCTAAGATTTCAATTGAATCAGCACACTTATGTAAATCAAGGGCTTTCCAAGATTCTACGATGGGGACTGACTTCAAAGAATTCGTGGGTTAAAATAAAAGAACATTTAGGCAATCTTATACCAAAAGTTACCAATTACAAGAAAGTTTGAATTTTGAAAAAGTTATTGTGATCACGTCATGTTGTCCAAAACTTTTCTTATCTTTATCGCAGGAGGGATTGGACAAATTTGGAAAATCCCAATAATCTTCCACCATATAAGCGTTGAAAGAATGAAAACACATTAGTTTTGTGCAGAACTCCATGGTTTGTAGTGCACACATCAGGGCTCAGCACAAGGTGGCTTTTTCATTTTTCCGAAAACGAAGTCTCCCCTGACTTCGCAGCCAACATACGACATCCCCTATAACCGCTGATGAATAAAACAAACAAATTGAGCAAAGAAGAATACAAGTGGAAAACGATAGGACACGAAATTGGCGGTAAGAACATCAATTTCGGGGTGGAGGACATTAGGTCGCCGAATTTGGAAGAGTCCCGCGCGGATTCCCTGCAGGAACGCATGTCCGCGCATGTACAAGGGTGCGTATTTGTCGCAAATGACCGCGGGGACCGCCCTTTTTCGGCGACCTAATGTCCCCCACCCTCAATTTCGTATTCATCGAATTGGCGCCACACTTTATCCATCGCGCACCATCGCGCGCCTAGAGCAGCACTGCCATTGCTACACAAAAATTCTCGAGGGCTATAACTAGGTGTGGAGTAGGGCGTTTGAGGAGCTTCAAAAAGTTCTAGAGATTTGGATTCAGAACAGAACTATGCAAGAATCTTGAAAAAATTTTGTGAAGAGGAGAAATGTATGACTTTATCTTTTTACAGCCACCTCAGATGGCTGTCCAGGTGGCTGGAAAGCCACCTAACTCCTAAAAAATTTGCCACGACTTTAGTTCACATAAATTTTCCATGATTATTTTACACATAATTCCACCTTCCCATTGCCCATCTACCAATTTTGGTGCCATATCATTTCCTCTCCGCTGTAAACATTGCTTTTGTTTACCTCGGGGAGTATTGAATTCCCGCACTTTCACGGATAGCATACTGGAGCGGGAAATTGTTGGTTTTGCAAGGAATGGAGTTCTACAGGCAGTGCTGAGCACTTGTGAGTCTCCAGAAGACGGGTAGGTGGATTAGAAGGGGGGAGGGGGGTACAATTGTGCTCAGCCAAGGATCCCGCAAAAACAATATCCCCTCTGCTCCCCATTCCAAAACGATATCCAGCCTACCCGAAAAGCCACCTGTGCCGAGCCCTGGTCAAGATAAAACTTCCGTGCAGTACAAAATGCATATTAAAACACAATTGCTGTAAATTTTGAGCGTTTCAGTGCCCTGTAGCCAAAAAATCCATTAAACCGAAGATTTTTGTAATGTTATGTCAACCTCTATCCAGTACCCAGCCTCCACTATATATTCTATCGTATTCGTCCACTGTATGTAATTAGCTTGCTCACTTAGACTCCGGTGTCAGCTCCCAGTCCCGCAATGAGGGCCCGGAAAAGTCGTTTTTGTAGAGGAATTTTTCAGAACTAAGTAAGCCTCCTCCGACCCTTACCGTACCTCCCCCCCCCCTCCCCGAGTTGAGTGTCCACCAGTTTTGCTAAGAGCGAAAGCGAAGCTCAGTCTATGCAAAAATTGATATATTCGATAAAGGTAATCAATAATTTCACTGCTGTTGTGTTCGTGAGTCGTGCTCATCATTCTCACTCCCCCCCCCCACTGTGCCAACTTCTACCTGGGCGCACACTCAAAAAAATCAATAATTGATAAAGATAACCGATAGACTCAAACTGAATTGGCACTCCAATTAGCATGCTCACTTACCCCAACTCCACTGTGCCAACGCCCGGCACCGCAGCTCAGAGTTTGCAAAAAAAAATTGATAAAATCGATAGCGAACGGTTACGAAGGGTAGAGTACGACATCCGCCTTGCACGGAAGTGTGTGTGCAAAGTCTGGTCCGGATCGGTGCAGAAATGGAGTTTTCTATTCGGAACATACATACGGACAGATAATATTAGGTCATTCCGAAAGTAATTTCGCTTTTTTCATACGGGCGCCACATTTGACGGAACAAAGGTTTCCAAGAGATTTTAGAAGCATTCGATGCAGCATTTTATTCTCTTTCTAAAGGTTATGAAATTGTTGCAAAACTGTTAATGAGCTTTCAGAAAATAACCAAAATCTGCGACCCCTGCTTTTTGAGATGGTCAAGTTTCACGATTTTTTAACACTTTCATATCAATCCTCGAAGGAGTTCAAGTAACGATTCGATAGAGTAAAGCTTATAGAATACACTGCAACTTTTTTCTCTTTTCCATAGCTTGTCATACATTTTTAACAGAATTTTAACTGATGCTACAGATTTCCATATTTGGACAGCTAAATCCTAGTAGAACATCAAACCATGAGCAGCTCGGGTGCCATTCGATGCAGCTTTTTCTCCTCTTTTCAATGGGTGTTTTTTGTTTTCAATTCGTTTAGTTTCCGAGAAGAAATCACCATAACTCATTTTTTTTAGCTAGCCCCAGGCTGTACCCGAAAAACTCGAAATTTGATATTTAGAACCCGTAAACCCCACTTGCTTTGTAAAATTGAAGCTAACTCATAGTACCATTTTGGTAGGCTCAACTTCCGAAAAATTATGATGTTTGATGCGATTGTGGCTGAGGTGGGCCTGCCAAAATCCGATAGTTCTGTTAGAAAATCTAAAAAAATATTACGGCGAGCTGCAAGGAAGAGAAAAAAGTAGTACTATATTCTATAAGGTTTACTCTATCGGATCGTTACTTGAACTCCTTCTGAGGATTGATATGAAAGTTTTAAAAAATGGTGAAACTTGACCATCTCAAAAAGCATGGGTCGCAGATTTTGGTTATTTTCTGAAAGGTCATTGAATATGCTGCAATGATTTTATAATCATTAGAAAGAGAACGAAATTCTGCATCGAATGCCTCCAAGATCTTTCAGAAACCTTTGTTCCACCACATGTGGCGTCCGTTTGGAAAAAGCGAAATTACTTTCGGAGTGACCTAATAGATACAGAGTTCAGCACATGTTAGACCCGGGCTTCTCCCAGCCCACTAACAAATCTTTGCTCTCTTCCACAATGTCAAAGTCATAAACATCGTAGTTAGAACCCCTGCATGCTAGTTTGAAAATCCCACAAGTCATGCTTAGTAGAGTTAAGTTGAGAATAAGTACTCAGAAGGCAAAAATTTGCATGCCAACATATAAGCGGAAGCTCAGCTCTGAATCAATTCAAATACTGCTCCTCCAATCTTAACTGCACGGCACTACCGTGTAGCCTGTGCTTGGATCTTGAAGTAAGATGAGCAGTGCTGGGAGGGATCTAAGTTTTTCGTGGAAGACCTTGATTGCTGACACAGTACAAATTATGGAATGACTTTCCTAACATCCGAAACTGTAAATGGAAAAACGAAACAAAGTGGAAATGTTGAGTAGATGTGGAGAAGACTTTTGACTCATGTAGAGAGGGACCGAGCAGAGCCGGTTGTTCCACTGGTATAAAAATACTTTTCTTTCGTCATCGAATTACTAATCCTAATCCTAAGTTTCGGATTTTAGAAAAGTTATTCCATAATTTGTACTGTGTCAGCAATCAAGGTCTTCCACGAACTAGATCCCGCCCAGCACTGCTCATCTGACTTCAAGATCCTAGCACACGGCTACATGGTAGTGCCGTGCAGTTGAGACTGGAGGAGCAGTATTTGGATTGATGCAGAACTGAGCTTCCGCTTATATGTTGGCAAGCAAATTTTTTGTCTTCTAAGCACTTGTTCTCAACTTAACTCTACTGAACATAACTTGCGGAGTTTTTGAACTAAATGCAGGGGTTCAAAATACGATGTTTATGACTTTGACATTTGTGGAAGAGAGCTGAAAGGTCAGGTTTTTTCAAAACTTCAGTCATACTTGAGACCAGCATGTTCTATCCCCGTCTGCGTCCGACATTGCAATTGATAAACCCTGTACTGATACGCAACATTCTATAATTTTATTGCGAGGACCATGTGATAATTGTTATGCAATTTTCTTCTAACAATAAGGTTATGGTTTTTATCCTACTCCTCATCCCCCCCCCCCTTCTTGCCCCTTCCCGCCCCCGCCCCCTATCGTAGGTTTCTACGAACCCGCGTTGCGACAGTCATATCACACGTTTAACTGGTAAGTAATGGCTAGATAAAAATTCTCTTGAACATCTAACTCAGTCCTGCCATGAGTTAGCAATATAAAAGCGTAAATCATGCACGCACTTTTCAAAAACACGTTTTTACATTGTATTCGCGCCGCTATTATAAAAGCAGTGAGAGACATGTAAACATTGATTGACAATGTTTCCTGGCTGTTTATTTATCAATGTAAGGCGCTCACCTATCTATTTAATCAAAATGCTCACTTCAGCTTTTGCTTGTTGTCTTTGTTTACCTTTATAAACATTGTCGCGATCTCATCAGACAGAATTGGGAAGGAGATTTTTGCGAAATTTTAGGAGCCGATGCTGGAATTACC